TTGGGGGAGCTCACTAAGCTTCGTGCTTACAGTTTCAGTTTTGGTTTCAGGTACTTCCGCAAGCAAAGGGAAGAGCTCGGGGTGATAGCATCGCACACACCACAGCTTAGCTCTTATCCTGGGGATGGTTTTAGTTGTTTTGGTTTTGATATAGTATGATACAGTTTTCCGCACAGTATTTTATTATGATTTGGGATACATCGCGCATGTTTTTTTATGTTATGATACTCGTATTATGGTTTTGGTATTATTGAAAAACGAAATTTTTGGGTCGTATTTTCGGGTCGTTTCAGTTTATGAAACAAAAGAACATGTGAGAGTTGATAAAACACAACCACCCAAACTAATAATGCAGTTGGGGAAGAATTAATGGAGGATTTTGAAAGCTAAGCTGAGTAAGAAGTTAAAGGATGTACCAAGATTAAACTTTTGGGACCCTTTTTTTAGGAACCTAGAATTTAGAGAGATTTGACTTTTAATCAAATCTTGACTAAAAGGGCAAAATGGTCATTTAGAGGAATTTAGTAAGTTTATGAAGTTGTGGCTTCATGAAAATGGCTAAGATAGGTTTAAGTTACTAGAATGAAATTAGATGAGTAAGTTCAAGTAAAAGAATGCATGAGAAGATGTGTTTTAGCCAAAATGGTAAAATGGGTGTTTTTATGCTTTTTGGGCCAAGTTTAAGACATAATAGATTAAGAATCGTATTAAGCTAATAAGAAATGACTTGAAAGAGTTGTAGAGTATGTTCCCACCATCACGTGTATATAAAGATTATAGAAAACTAGTTAGAAACAAAGAAGTTATGCACATTATAAGTTAGGATGAAAGTTGTCCCCAAAGCTGGAAGGGAATCAAAAATGCACTTTGTTGATCTTCAGTTACCGCGGCACGGTAAATAGATCGTCACGACACGGTGGCATAAGTGGGTTGCCTTTAACCACGAGTTAAATGGTCACCACGGCATAATGAATACCCCACCATAACGCGGTTTTAAGGCTAAAACATAGGTTTTAACATGTTAAGAGCTCATTTCGATCTATATTCTTTGGAGATCGATTGGGAGCTCAAAGGTTGTGATTTTACTACCAAATTCATGCCAAGAGAAGCTAGAGATGGTGGGTTGTTAGGATTTTCATCCTTTCCACATTAAGGTATGATTTCTCCATTTTGGTGAAATATTTGAATTGGTTATATTGGTTGGTTTGATCAACCTATAGATCAAGTATGATGTTATTAATAGTGTCTAGAAGCTTTAACTAATATTTAAAAGTGATTTCCATGGTGAAATAAATCCAATGAGTGTTAGGGTTTGAAACCCTGACTATTGATTAATGATTGATGCATTAAATGTTAGATTATGATGAATTAGGTAGTAAGAGATGCTTAATTCATTGTTTGGGTTAGATTAGAAAAAGAAAATATGAATTTAGAGATATGATCCATTAAATGGTCATTTTGACCATAAGATTTATTAAGCTCTTAATAAGCTAACAAATGTATTAAGAAGCTTGAATATATGTATAAATAGTCCTAAGAGCAAAGAATCTGGATCAATGTGCATCAATTAAAGAATATAGCTAATGGTAGTTAGTCTTCACTAACCAACAAGGTGAGTTATTACTCTCTCTCTCTCTCTCTCTCTCTCTCTTCCCCCATCTCTTTTGATTATGTTATATATATTTATATACATGTATGTATGTTTGTATGCAAGTATCATGTATCTAAGCATGATACAGAGAAAGAAAGGATATGATTATGTGTACTGTAATCCTACGTGAGATTATGTACTTACGCCTATACATTTAAGATCATACATCCGAGCATGTATATATAACCAAAGTATGTATATATGTACAAGGAAAAGATAAGGGTATTATGAGTGATACATATAAAAGTATATAAAAATAGAATTCTATGTATTATGATCCTATATACGAGTAGATGATAAGAAAAGGTATATGCGGATACCAAAGAGATTGTAGATAGAGACAATATGGTTATTTGTAGTATAATTATAAGTATGAGTATGCATGTATGTTTAGACATTAATGGTATTATGTAGAATACCTATATGTTAATAAACATGTATAATGATTAAGTACTTAATAAGTTAAGTACTAGATTTTTAGTAGTAGACCACTTAATAAAATAAAGAGATAGAATGTCCATGGGACAAGTATTATGTGATGAGTCACATAATAGAGATAAAGATTTCTATAAAGATGATTCCTTCGTGAATAAGATTATGATTCATACGAGAATAAGAGTATAGTCCCTTTGGAGATATAAACAAATGATTTCTGTGGGAATAAGAAAGTATATGGTTAGAGAAGGTAGATAAAGGTTCCATGAGTGGAACGAAGCAAGAGAGTTTAAGAACTTAGATAAAATCTATGAGGGATTAAGAGTAAGTATATGGTTAGAGAAGGTAGATAAATAATGAGAAATTAGAGTATGTACCGAGTATGAGATGAGAAAGATGGAGAATAGAGTAGAGTATGAAAAAAAGGACAAAATGTAAAGTATGTGACAATAAGAGAAAGATAAAGAATGAGAGATAGATTGCATAGAAGAAACGATAGAGTATGGAAAGATAGAAAATAGTTAGATGAAGAGTAGATATGCATGAAAACATAATAAAATATAACTCATACCTATGGTCTGATAGTTAGATGAAGAGTAGATATGCATGAAAACATAATAAAATATAAGTCACACCTATGGTCTGATATAATAGATGTTTTCCATGTTTTGTAAGTTCAGATAGCATAGTAGCATGTAAGAAGACATGCACACAAGAACTTAGTGTAGAATAATAATTTATTTATTTATTTGTAGTTTTCCTTGTTGCTTACTTAATAGATTAAATTTTATTGTAAACTGTGGTTAAACTTGGGATGTAAAATGTTTTAATTTTATAGAATTCCGAAATTGTTAGAAAACTCTGATATATATCTTTGTGGATGTCTGTATAGAAAATCCGTGTCGTCATAATTGTTATCAGAATCATAGATTAAATTGTGTTTGATATGTCTACAATATATTTAAACTATTGGAGAAGAGAACTGGAGGGTTTAGGACCATTATTAGTGTCGAGCATATGTTATTTATGAGATGTTGAAGTAAACCATATCTTATGAGATGTTGAAGTAAAGGGTTAAGATGTGTGAAAATAAAGAACCTAGAAAGTTTGTGAGATAGTAGATGAAAGGGAATATGACTTATCAAGGTAATTAACTTTTCGATATGTTTACATCTAGGTAACTATCTTTTTTTTGTACATATGTAGGTAACAAACTTTTTGGGAGTGTTCACATATGACCATTATGACCTGCTATAACAGGTTAAATCCTAAATGTGAACGCTTTCAACAAGTTTGTTACCTAGATGTGTACAAAAAAAAATAGTTACCCAAATATGAACAAAACGAAAAGTAAAAATTAAATTACATGAATGGTCCCTGTAGTTTGGGGGAATTTGTGGTTTTGGTCTCTAAGTTATTTTTTTAAACTTAAATGGTTCCTATTGTTTATTTTTGTTGCGCGTTTGATCCCTATCTTACCTAAAAATACTATTGTGCCCTTATTAATTTATTTTTTTAATTAATTTTCTTAACTATGTTTATTTTTTTTACATATTTATAAAAATTAATATACCACACATATTTGAATCTCCTCGGATGATCCGTACTATTTATTTTTTAATTAATTTAATTTTTTAACTCGGAAGGTCCCTACTATTTAATTTTGTTACGAACTTGGTCTCTGTCTTACCTAAAAAGACTATTGTGCCCTTATTAATTTTTTTTAATTAATTTTCTTGTTTATGTACTTATGCTTTATATGTTTAAGAAAAATTAGTAGACCTCACATATCTGTATCTCCTCACCATCCCATCTTTCATCATTCTCAACTTCTATTTATTTTTCATCTTTAGTGATATCGACGTCTTCATCATCACTTCATTTTCGGTCCTTCAACTCCGTCGAAACAACACCACAACCCACTAAATATGAAGAGACAGTAGGTTATGGTGTTGGTTCTCCAGAGTTGAAGTACCAAAAAAAAAAAGGACGGTGAAGACGTTGATGTTACTAAATATGAAAAAGAAATAAAAGATGAGGATGATCGGAGATGAGATGGTGAATGGTAAGATTTAAATTAAATTTCTCAAATGTGGTTTCAGGTTTACGGTGATAAGATACATATATGTGGGGTATATTAATTTTTTTATAAAAAATAAATACATAAATAAGAAAATTAATTTAAAAAATTAATAAGGAAAAAATAGTATTTTTAGATAAGACAGAGAACAAATGCATAACAAAATAAGCAGTAACGATCATCCAAGTTAAAAAAAAATTAATTAAAAATAAACAGTAGAGATCATCCGAGGAGATATAAATATGTGTGGTCTATTAATTTTTTTAAATATGTATAAAATAAATACATAGATAAGAAAATTAATTAAAAAATAAATTAATAAGGGCACAATAGTATTTTTAGGTAAGACGGGACCAAACACGCAACAAAAATAAATAGTAGGGACCATTTAAGTTAAAAAAATAAATTAGGGACCAAAACCACAAATTCCCCCAAACCACAGGGACCATTCATGTAATTTAATTTTTAATTTTCATTTTGTTCATATTTGGGGTAACTATTTTTTTTGTACACATCTAGGTAACAAACTTGTTGAAAAAGTTCACATCTAGGATTTAACCTGCTATAGCAGGTCATAATGGTCATATGTGAACACTTCCAAAAAGTTTGTTACCTACATATGTACAAAAAAAAGATAGTTACCCAGATATGAACATACCGAAAAGTTAATTACCTTGATAAGTCATATTCCCTAGATGAAAATATGATTTTTTTTTTTTTTTTTTCCTTTTTTAAGTTTACCATTTGTCTTCGAAAAGAATAATGCTCATTCTCATAAGATTTTGTCGACCGTTAGATTATGATAGATGACTTTGATGGGAAGTGATAGGGCCACATGGCATGATGTAATTTCATGTTGCAACTAACATTAATCACCGACGCTCCACCAGATTCGTTTCCATCTATTTCAATCTCCTTTCCTTTCTACTCTTTTCACTGTATTTTCTACTGTATATATCTATAATCTATCTTCATACATTTCCTCTAAAGTGACCTGGAAAACATTTGAGAGCCGCTGTCACACACAATACACACTAACCCTTTTGCATTTCAAACAAAAGAAAAACCCACATAAAAAAGATTCACAAATTCTAATCCGTCTTCCAAAGATCCATATGTAGGGTTCTTTACAAACCCCCTTTTCAACTCATGGCTTTTTGATCTTTGTCTGCTACTCTAGGTGAGCATTTTTTTCGATCTTTTTTTAAGTAGTTCATTTCTCAAATGTGCGATTTGTCTTGTACCAATGGTGGGTTCAAAGGGGTTTTATCCAATTTGTAAGTGGCTACGTGTGTTTCGATTCGCGAAATCTTTGGATTTCATTGAATCTTGCAGATACAACTTCGGATCTGTTCATAGGTTTGAAGATCTAGCTATTTTGGTTCATTTTTGAATAAAAACATGTCTTTTCTTTGTGATTCTTTCTACGCGTTTGTTCAGATTCAGTTTTTGAAGTGATTGGTTGATGCCCTAATTAGTTAGATTACTTGAAATATGGGGGAAAGTAAAGAAATATAAACTATGTAATGTATCTCATCGAATCAAACTGAAAAGTACACATGACTATATACTGTTTATATAACTTCTTCACATTATGCTTATATAAAAAGCAACATTGCCTCCTCTCATTTGATTCCTCGTTTTCGTAGCTATGGCGGATGTTGACGATATCATGGTTGTTTCGGGAAATGGGACTACTCATGACGCAGATCATGACTACGAAGACGATAATGAAATCATAGCCAGGATTCCCAATTATGATTCCGAAGTCAAAGAAGGAAAGGGGAATTCCATGGATTCCTTCACTGAAGAAATCGAAGAAAGCAACAATCTTGATGCTCTCAAGGTACAAAAAAACAGTTTATTCTATTAAAAAAAACAGACCTTTAGTATTTTGTAACACTGTAACTAAACCTATTAAAATTTTTCCATTTTTTCTTTGTTATCAGGAACTTCAATTGAAAGATAGCGATGTATCAAGTCAACCCAAATGTCAAAACACTACAGATGACAATTTAGGCCTTAAAATTGATACAAAAAAGAAAATAGAAGCAAAGAAAACTTCTTCAGTGAAACAATTTGAAAAAAAGAGTGGCAATTCAAAACCTGCAATATCTCAAGTTAAGGCCCATCTTTCTAAGGTATACAATGGCTTCTCTTTTGTTTAACCTTATGGATTTGGTCAATTAGTCAAACTTTTTCAGAAACTCTTTAATTGTTTTTACTTTTTACCTTAGCAACATGGAAAATCTGATTCAACAACATCTACTGCAAACATTGTGCAATCTGAAGGTGTCAAGTATGTTCTATTTACTCTTGAGCTTTATGTATTATAAAAAATGTTTATACTTTATAGTTTGTTGGATTTGAAGTTGACTTTTTTCTTGATATAGGGATAAGGTCAAAGTGAAGTCAATGAAAACAGTTCAAGGAAGTTCAACTGAAGCAAGAACACATTCTTCTGAGTATCCTAATTTGCTTACATCCACAATTTTTTTATATACATTTGACTTTTGAGGTCAATTTGTTATTTATTAGCATCATATTTAGTGTTTTTTTCTTAATTACATGAAAACAGAAGCTCAACAACAGGAGATGAAAAGCCACAAAGACTTGGCACACTTCCAGCTTATAGTTTTAGTTTTAGGTGTAATGAAAGAGCTGAAAAACGTAAAGAGGTCAGTTTTATTTATATTTTTGGTCTCTTTCTTTTGCTTCAAAAAACTTATTTTTATTTGTATTTTTATATTTTTGGCAGTTTTATTCTAAGCTGGAGGAAAAGATCCATGCAAAAGAAGAGGAAAAGAATTCTCTTCAAGCAAAAACCAAGGTATAGTTAATTATTACTTTTTTTTGCTAAATATAAAAGGTAGGGTTTGGTATGTATTAATGGAAGAGGGAATGGAATAGAGCATTACTGAGTTGCCACAAAGGAATGGAATTGAGTAATCCGTATGGATTTTCATTCCTTCTTTTGGGCTGATTTTCTTTCCATGTAGGATTCCTTGAAGGAATGGAATGATATATGAGAATTATAGTTTACTTTAGTTTATATAATGTTCAATAACAATAATGGTTTTAAAAATTCCAAAACTTCAATCAAAAATTCATTTTCTTTTCAAAATCGACTAAAAATGTTTTTTTATCGTAACTCTATTTTAAGATTTCATCGTATTTAATGTATACTTGTCGTAGACAACTACTTTATATGATAAAATATTTTGTTTGACTATTTGAAATACGTATAGTATATATTTTAAACGACATGGAATATGTTTATATGCAATTTCTTTAACTCAATTTAATTGAAATTTATTCTTATAAAATAACATCATTTTTCTTTATTTACCAATTTATGCTGTATATAGTTTTCTAATTATACACAAAAAAACATGTTTGAATGGCTCATTCCATTCCTTTAAGCCATTTAAACATGACAATGTAAATGGAATGTAATGATCAATTCCATTCCATTCCTTTGTCATTCCATTCCAATTTCCATCATACCTAAAAGTTTGATCATAACAAATCTTTTTTATAAAAGGAACATCAAGAAGCTGAGATTAAAATGTTACGAAAGAGTCTTATGTTTAAAGCTACACCAATGCCAAGTTTTTACCATGAAACTCCTCCTAAGACAGAGTTAAAGAAGGTAACTTTTTAAACTCTTTTTCCCAATTTATATTTTACAAAATAATAATATATATATATATATATATATATATATATATATATTTTTTTTTTTACTGATTTAGATTCCAACAACACGTCCTAAATCTCCAAAACTTGGAAGGAAAAAGGAGTCCCCCACAGGAGAAGAGAATGGTGGCAGTGTTTTTCGACCTCGATTAAGTTTGGATGCAAGAAAATCTTTAATTTCCAAAACTGCCCCTAAAGGTGTAGTAACATCTTCTGTTGTCGCAAAGAAACCAACAAGGAAATCTCTTCCTAAGCTACCTTCTGAAAAGACCAAAATACCCTCGGACTCCAAAGATAGAAAAGAAGCCCCTTCCTGTGAAATTACAATATCGTCCGAACTTGAAAGTCAACCAAATAAAGATTCATCATCGCATGTTGAGGAGGAAAAAGCCGAGGTATTGGCCAATTGAAATGATGAGAAATGTTTTGTATTTCAAAATTCCATTTTCGCCCTCGGGAGTATATAATCAGATGCATCAATTGAAAACTGGAGGTGGGAAGATTTTATTTTCTTGTTCTAAATCTTAGTCAGTTGGGGTGACCTGCCTGCGAAGGGTAAGTTGGGTAAGTGTTTTTTGTGAGAATGGTGATGTGACCATTTTGCCCTTATTTGAGCATTGGATGTTTAGTTTTCCCTTTGGACAATTGATTCCTGAATGTGGTTTAGTTTATTACTAATTATTATTATGAAGAAACTGTTTCAGAACTTAATTTGACACAGGCACTTGGAATTTGTGTTGGATGTCTCAACAAAACTTGTTACCTTGATATGATGAAATTGTTAATTTTATGTATTTTATATTTTATATATTATATACACTTTACACCCTTTATGCCATTCCATAGACTTTAGATCCTTTGATGTCGCTTAAATCGAATTTAATCTAAATCGATTAGATATGGAAGTTGACCATTATACCCTTTTATATAATACTAGAAATTGCATTAGTAGTCAAATAACACAAGTTCTTGATTTAATGTGTGAGAGACCTAATTTTAGGTAACATTGTTCAACTCTCTCCTAGTGCTTCATTCCTAAGTTACAAATCTTTTATTTAAACAATTACACTAAAGTGTTTAACACAAACTTGTCAATTATATATTATGTCAATTCGGTTTTTTGGCACAAACCCAAATCCAAACCGATAAATTCGGTTTTTGAAAACCAAAATTGTTCGATTCAGTTTCAATTTTTGAGTTTAGGTTTTTTGGTTTTCTTCTGGTTGTAGTTTGGTTTTCGCTCACCATAGTTGCTTGAGTACATCTCTCGATTTTGTGCGCCCTTACTCTCATCAAGGATGACTTTGGCATTGTTTGACATGTCAATGTCTCTTCGTCGTGTTTATGTACCATGCTTCCAACTTATTGAAATCCGTATCTAGTTGCATGTCTAACATCGTCCTCCATCTAGGATGCACAAAGTGCTAATGAAAGGTATGAGACAAGCTTGTATTTTGTCGAATAAATCAATTCCGAGAATGACTTTAAAGTTGTTAATAGGTACTTACTAATAGGTTTGTGTTTTCCAATTCTTTAATCTTTGCCTTTAGGCCAAATGCCACCATATTAATGTGTTTGGTGTCCCCACTAACAACTTTGATCTATTGAATGGTATATTCTATCATACCTTATTATTGAATAATGATCCCAATATATGGGGAAGATACAAAGCGGCACTAGGACGAACACTCCAATTGGTCTTGCCCTGTTGGTACATATGGCGAGGCAAACCCTTCATGAAGATGTCTGCATACCATAGAGAGCATACCGTAGAGGAAGGAATATGGAGGACTCGACGTATTCGAACCTTTTCGTGAACAAAATGTATATCGATCTCTATGTGCTTCATGAACTGATGTTGAACGAGATTTTGTGACAGGTAAATGCAGCTCGACCAAAAGATTTCTTAGCCATGTAGCTTCGGTGTCATCGTTAGCAACGCCTGCGTTGGCACTTAGCACTTGAACGAGAGATGGTAGGCTGCCGTTTGGATGACCATGAGACAAGGTTATCGCCCAAAAAGACACAATAGTCGGATGTGGATCGACGAGAATCAGGGATGTCGCCCCAATCAACGTCGAAATAAGCCGTCAGAGTGTGAGTAAGAGAAGCAACGATATGTAATCCATAATCGATGCCACCTTGGTGGGATGTATAGCCACCAAGCAAACTACACCATTTTGTTTGCAAATAAAACGTAATATAGTAGGAAAAAGGGGATCGGATCCATAGGGAAATGGTTGTAATTCAATTACCAATGTAATCCAGTTGAACAAGTGAAATAAAACTAAACAACTAAAATTAAACTAGGGGGTTTTGATTTTGTTTGAAAACTAAAAGACTTGAAGAATTAAAAAACTTGCAATTAAGCAAGATGACGAGATGTTCAAATATTAGAGAGAATTGGTCAACCAAGACAATTCAACACAATGAATATTTGTTTGTCTATCATTAATATTTAATATGTAAGCTTATCATTCAATCCAAATTAGTTATAGCAATCATGAAGCATGATATGCCAAAATTACTAAAAGGTAGTATGGAGGTTAAGAAAGCCTACAACACACCTTCTTAATCAAAATTTAGAATCCAATATAAGAAATTAGACTCAAGAAAATTGATTAGCCTTAAGAATGAAGGAATTCCAAGAGAACGTCTATGCTTACATATCCATAAATAAGTCATGATCCATAAGCTAGAGATGATTTCTACCATCATAATGCATTTGTTCTAAGAAAATGCAATGATTCATTCCTAAATCAAAGAAATAAACCAACAATTTCTCATTAAGTACCAAGCTCATGATCAAAGCATTAAAATAAGCATAAGAATTATGAACTAAGAATAATAAACATGAGATAAATGATAAACAAACATGAATCCTTCAAAAACTCACAAATATACAAGCATTTTAGCCCAAGTCAACCAAAATAAAGTGCCTAGCCACTCATAGCAACAAGACAATGATCACAAAAGTGTTTTAACATCAAGGAGTTAGAAAATACTAGAAGAATGAGAGGATGTATGGTCTAGCTCTACAAAATCGTCCCAAGCTGCTCTAATGGTGTCCAAAATCGATCTCTCCGATGCAAAAACTAACCCCCAAGGTGAATGATGGGTCAAATGACCAAAATACCCTTAGGAAGGCAGTTGAGTCGGTGGGCACATAGGGTTGTGCGAGTAGAGATCACCCTCGAAAAAGATTTTGAAATGCTATTGGCTCATTCTTCCACTACTCCACCCACTACCTTAGATTCCCTTGGTCCCCTTCACACCTCACATCATTCAGATATGGACCAATCATCTTCAAGCATCAAAATGGATAGTCTAAATCATCTTCAAGAGTTCATGATTCATCCAAGTCTTTAACACATCAAGCCCAATCCTTCTGAAATGGATTTTGTAAAGCCCAATTACTCCTCGAAAACCCAAAAGCCCGACAACTCAGCAACAAGCTAATCCGCAACCACAACGAGATTTCAAAAACCTATAAAACACCTTATGCAAAAGAGAAAGCATGAGATACGATCCAAGATAAAGAAAAGATAGAATATGCAATGCAATAACAACAAAAAAAAGCAAAAATGTTTTAATAAACTACATAAAAGAAGTAAATAAAATAAATTATCATACCTCGTAGATATCGGAGATGCGCTTCATGAACTGAAAATGGGATCGGCTTAGGGCATGCATGAAGAGGCAAATCTGTTGAACGTTAAGAGCAAACTCAACCACATTTTGCATATTCATCTACATAATGAGATTTTTGTAACATTACATTGTTGTTGTGTCTAGATTCTTATTTTACTACTAGTGGTAGAATTGTGGGTCCACATAAGAGTAAACTTGTAGTATTTAGTATCTATGATTTTACTTGAAATGTTATAAAGTTTATTCATTTAATACATTTTTCTAATCATGGTCATTTGCTTTTCTTTGTTATATTGTATTAATGATGGAGGAGACGACATACATGTTGATGACGAAAAAACAAAGAGAAATTAGGTAATAAATAAGATTTCTTTTAAAAGAATGCATTGACTAAATTAACATAATAACATATATTTATTTATATTTAATTTATTTAGGGACGACACTCATATGTCAAACAATGAAGACAAAATATCAACCATGTTATGAATTAGTGGAGTGTTTTTTTGACTTATTTACTTGGTTTTATATGTTTGTAACTTTGGATTTATCGTCTTAATTTATTTATACCTATTTCTTTAAAATTTGACTTGCATTTAAGCTATCAAAATTCAACCATAAAATTTTGTTTTTGAGTTGCCAAAATTCTGTTAAAACAAACATTTTGAACCTAATTACAATCATTTTCAAGCCCAAAAAATATTCATTTTCGAACCCAACAACAAACAGCCGAAAATCAAAATTTTGATAGACGGGGTTGATTGGGGGATTTTGGGGCGGGTTGGGGTAGGGAAATGGAGGAATTTGGGTAACGGGGACAAAGAGGGTACATCCAATCCATTTCGCCTCGTTGGCATCTTTGTAATGACCTTCTTGATAATTTTTGTGTCATCCACAATGTTTACCCCGGGGCATTGTTTGATTTCCCATAAGAGGGTTTTAAATGCACTTATTGACGAGCAATGTCAGTTTAGTTTTAGGATCTCGATTATGGATGTGGTAGTAAAAGCACCAACTTAACTAACCACAAATTTCCTCCACAAAGCTCTCCCTCTACTTATTTCTTGGAATGTATTGAGCACTCTTGTAACGACCCGTTATTTCAAATCAATGTAATAGTTTAGATTAAGTTGTAACTAGTTTATTTTAAAAATAATAAAGAGAAAATTTTCAATATTATGTGCAATTACTTATTTGATCCTCAAAAATAAAATGTTAAATAAACATGATATCTATGAGGAAAGTAGTAGTGGTCGTGACAAGAATTCCAGAAATATAAAGAATACGAAAATCTGAGTTATAACGAAGAAGTTATGGTTTATCAAAGTTTTAAGACAGAACCGGCACAACACTGCGTGTCGTAAAAAGTAAATATACACTAGGATACTTTTTAGATTTAACGATCTACATGAAAGTTGTACTATACGTAAAACCGAGAGCGTGCATAAAAAGAACGCCCAAATTTGACTTCGTGTGATGAAGTTATGAATTTTCTAAGATTTGGCAGAACAGTATGCAGCCCGAAACTCGAAATTTAGATCGAGCAACTTTTGGCCAAAACAACCTAAACGAGAATCGGAGATCTTGTCAAAAGAAATCTAACGGTAAAAAGACAGACGAAAATGGACGTCGGATAAAGAAGTTATGAATTTTTAACGAATTTTTTCTGTCCCGGACTGTTAAAAATACAATTTAAAAAATAAACTCAAAATTAGCCGACGAAGTCCAAATGAAAGTTGTAGAGCACGATCTCACCTACGCTTGGATATAAATAACGTCAAAAACGAAGATCGTATGCGAAAGATATAAATTTTTGAAGTTTGAGGCACAAATTCTGAGGCTGGTCCAAAGGAGTACTCCCCGCGTACAGAATTACGCCCAACGTACTCATAAACTGGGTCTTGAATTGACCACGCCGCCCTTCCTTCGCATGGTAAACACGTATCAGCCACGTCCGAAGCCTAGATAATGATCAAGCAGTACGTCCAACGTACTGATTACGTGTCCCGTCCTCGTATGTACGCCCAACGTACTGAGGTTCAGCAACCTCCTATAAATAGCATGCGAGGCCTCCAGATTTATGGTTAGATTTTTCAATACTCTTTCACTCTAAACATCTTTCTAAGCCCCTCTAAAACCCTCGAAGCCTAGAAG